GACCAACACACAAACAAACACATTCAAAACCTCACACTCACACAGACACATTAAAACCTTCACACACACAGAGGCCAACACACCCTGACACTGAAACCTCACACTCACACAGAACAACACACACACAAACACGGACTCAATCCTCACACTCAGACCAACATACAGACACACTGAAACCTCACACTCGCACAGACCAACACACACATCAAACCTCAAACTCACACAGACCAACACTCACTCTCACAACACACAGACACATTCAAACCCTCACACTCACATATACCAACACATTCACACACACTCAAAACCTCACACACACAGACCATCTCATTCACACACACACACTGTCGGATTGACAGACTGAGACAAACTGCCAGACATTGATGCACACCCAGTCACAGAGAGAGAAAGACATACACACACCGCCACATAAACAATACACCAGATGCCCGTAAGGACAATGACACACATTCATCAACCACTCCGATACAAACCAGGTCTTCTGCATAAACTGACAGACGCTGACTGGCAGAGGCCAAAAGAGATGTGTAGACACCAACGTACACACTCATGGATATGGACACACCTCCACCCAACCATATGCACACAAAATGGCCTCATATACAGACACATGTATACAGTAACAAAGACAAACACAGGTATACGCGGAGACAGACTCAGATGTACAGATTGATGGTGCACACACAGACTGACATCAGAAATGTAAACACTCACAAATACATATGCACAGGTACGCTCACTCACCTTCACTCTCACAAACCTACAGCTTTGCAAAAGAATGAAGCAATATTTTGACAGTTGATAATTGGAGGAGAATTAATTAATGTGATGAAGTGATTTGCGCAACAGGACGGACTGATATGAAATATTAAACTCTACAAATCAACCTGGGTTGAATTCAGAACAGAGTCTTAAAGTACCAGGTGCTAGGATAGGGAATATAGTCGAGTTAATCTGATGCAGCTGACACAGTAGTTATCCAACACACAGATGTTAACTGGGCTTTTACACTGTGTCACTGACAAGCTGTGACACACAATTCATCGCACAATGGACTTGATGCTGAAACTGTTTCTCAAATAATTACATCTCTTCAGATTAAATAGTAACTTCCTTTAGGTAACAATGAGGCAGCTGAGGAACACTGCAGAAGGTTGTAGTCCAGTGACAGTGAGGGTGAAGTCCAATTAGCCGACAGCTGCATGTCTAGAGTAAGCCAGTCCCATGGTAACCGGTAGAAGAGACAGTTTTTTGCAGAGGTGGAGTGTTTTCAATTGTGGGGGAAGAGAGATGGGGAATTGTTCTACTCCCTGCCCCTTGCAATTCGCCAAAGTATTGAAGATTGAGCAAGGAGATCTCTGACTCATCAGTGGGCTTGGTTCCTGTGGCTGCTCCTGCTGTGGGTCCCATGCTCAACGGCAACAATCTGTGTCCTACCATCCTCAACACTGGAAGCTCTGTGGAGGAAGGCGATGTGGGTAGGTGGTGAATAGGCAGGGAGAGAAAGTGAGGGAGGGGAAAGAAGAGGAAGATAGGGAGGGGGAGTGAGGAGGGAATCAGGATGAAAGTGGTGAGGGAGAGGATGGACAAGGGGGAAGGAAGGAATAGAGGAAGAGTGTATGAGAACATAGAGGGAGGGAGGGAAAGTGGGAGGGAGGTAGTATCTCGTCCATTGATCTACTGTTTTGAGTTGAGAATTGAGCTGGATATCAGCTAATTGAGTAAAGCCCCTCATGTGGAGACAGGAACAGCCCAGAAACCAAACTAAAACTTCAGTGATGCTACATGTCCTTTCTACAGAATATATATAAACACCTGCACAGGTCTTACAGATCTATATATCGCTATACTGACTGTATCATTGTGGAAAGGAAAGAATTTGTATGGCCTTATAACTCGTCAGATTTAATGATGTGGAACAGCGTGACATTATATAGAACCTGGTGACCATTATTCCATGTGTAAAGGGCTCGGTCTTTGGGGTTATAATCCAACATGGAGATGTGAGAGTATTGGTTATGGAACTGGATGTCAGTGTATTCGTAGGTGGAAGTGTTGGTGTTGTATGAATAGTAAACCTTGGCTCCACCCAGATGTGAGTTGGTCATGTACAGAGTGCCACAGATCATGAAGGCTTCCCCTGCACTCCGTTTGGGATAGCCTGTGTTCCAACTCCGGATCACCTCCAGCGTTCCCAGGTCCAGCTTGCTGATGACGATGTTCCCAGCATTCTGATTGGTGGCATAGACTGCCCAGAGCCCGCCCTCGTCCACCATCAAGTCGATGTCAGAATGGCCTCCCCAGGAGTATGGGTACATGTTATTGTAGCCGGCGTAGTCCAGGCTCCTCTGAGTCAGCAACCGCTCAGTGGGAATGTGGAACTTGATGAGGATGTGGCTCTGGTATTTGTTAAAGTACAGGGTCTGGTTGTAGACCACTTGACCAGTACCAGACCAGGGATGAGGCAGACGATACACTGTGAAATTGTCCGTACCCATGAAATCCTGCAGGGACTTATAAACACGCACAAAGCGGTTGTTATGGTAACCATCCATGTAATAAACCTAGAGAAAAGTTAGACAAGACAGCATCAAGATGGATTTGTCAATTAAATGTAGATCAAAATAAGGCCTGATTCATAGCTATGCACAATTTTCCCAGAATTTCATATTGGGATCCCTCCAGTCTCTGGATCAAAATTACTCATTCAAGTCCCAAATGACATCCCATGAGCCGCTGACAATGGTAACCTCTCCCACGACCCCGGTCTGCAGTGTTGGACACATTGACCATGCTGTTCTCCTATGCACCCTGATCCCACTGTCTAGCACTGCTCCTGCCTAGGTCCCTCCTAATCATAGCTCAACCATCACTGACGACATCCCCCCCTCACGAACTCACACCAGCCCCACACATACATACACACACACATACACTTTCCCCTCACTGTTCCCACTGCTATCCCCCAAGCTTTGCCCTTGGCTTCTCCTGTTTCTCATTTACACACCGCCCCTTGACGACATCATCCAAAAATATGGTGTTAGCCTTTCATGGCGCATGGTAGAGTCCCTATCTCTGAGCCAGGAGGCCCAGGACCAAGTCGCACTTGCTCCAGAGGTATGTTGTAACAGGTTGATTAGAAAATATCTGAGCTTGCAAATGAATGACACTCAGCACTGCCTCACCAGCTCCTCACTCTGTTTGGTGGTTACTCTTACCGAGACGGCCATGGATAGATGTGTCTGTAGTCGGCAGATTGGTGAGGATGAGATCAGGTGTGTTTTCCCCTCTTATTGGCTCCCTCACCACCTGCCACAGACCCAGTTTAGCAGCTATGTCCTTTAGGCCACAATTAGCTCAATCTGTCATGCTACCATGAGACTTCATGGGGTCCAGAGTCAATGTTGAGAACTCCAATGGGTCACTCCCTCCTCACTGTGGTCTCACCTGTTCCTCAATGGGACAGGATACATAGAGGGCTGGTGGTGGTGGTGGAGTCCGGATCATGTTCCATAATGTCCCTTATTTGACCAGTCTGTGAGACAGCACTAACCCGCCCAACCCTGCAGACATGACAGTACCTAAGTTGATGATGGCTGTACCATCTCATTTCAATTCTTTTATATGTGGTTTTGATGGAACTGAGCAATGTGCTTGGCCATTACAGGGGGGCAGTTACGCTGTGGAATCACATGTCAGCCAGACAGGGGTAAAGATGACAGACTTCCTTCCCAGAAGAATGTAAGTGAAACTGCTCGGGTTTTTTAGCCAATGGTTGTCAGTTGTCTTGCTTTTGAAAATACAGCATTTACTGAATACAAATCTCACCATTTGCCCTGGTGGAATTAGCCTGGCTCTCTGGATTACTGACTCAGGGACATCACCAAGACACACTACCACCCCTGTTAATGTGCTCAAAACACAAACAGATCATCTTGCTCTTTTCCAGTGACAACAAGCTCGATTTGCACAGTCACTCATCATCAGCCAGTTCTCGGTCTCACTGACTGCTCTCATCACCATCTCCCCTAAAGTTGTAATATTCCTGCCATGCTGTATAATCTGAACTGGGTCTGGGATTGTAAATACTGCTGCATCAATGATTTATAAAGATTACCTCATTAGTTCAACTCGGCACTGACATTACTGCCGGGAAACGTTGCCATAATAACTTCAACTTAACACAATCACTCAACATTTATGTTGAGTTCTGGGCACTGTATCTCAGTACAGAGGTCGGGGAGGGGTCTGTGGGGACCGGTGGGTCATTGAAGTGGGCCACCTGGGGAACCACAGGGTCTGTTGCTGTGTCTGTGATCAAGTTATGTTGACAGTCATAAAGCTGACAGCGTGGGATGTCTCTGATTCAGCTGAAGCTTTGCAGGAAATAACGTTACTTTTACAAGAGAAATTGATTGACAGATCAATTGAAGTTGAAAATTTGAGACAGAAATGGCTCTAGTGAACAGATTGGAATAAGAAGATTAAAGAATCCTGGGACAAAATGGGGCATAAACACAGTGAAACCCTGACAATGTGGTGAAGCAATTAGAAGTGGGATTCTGCAATACTTTGTACAATCTGGGCTCCACAAATCAAAATGGGAACTGCCAGCGAAAAACACTCTCATTTCTACAGCTGTCAACACTGGGGGACAGGGTGAACTATTTTTAGAATCCTCATGATAGACTCATAGAGATGTACAGCACAGAAATGGACCCTTCGGTCCAACCCATCCGTGCTGACCAGATAACCTAAATAAATCTAGTCCCATTTGCCAACATTTGGTTCATATCCCTCTAAACCCTTCCTATTCATATACCTATCCAGATGACTTTTAAATGTTGTAGTTGTATCAGCCCCCACTATTCTCCTAGAAGCTCATTCCATACCACTCTCTGCATGAAAATGTTGCCCCTTAGATCCCTTTTAAACCTTTCCCCTCTCATCTTAAACCTACTCCCTCTATTTTTGGACTCCTCCCATCCCAAGGGAAAAGACATTGTCTATTTACCTGATCCATGCCCCTCATGATTTTATAAACCTTTATAAGGTCACCCGTCAGCCCCTGACGATCCAGGAAGATAGCCCCAGTCTATTCAGCCTCTCCCTATAGCTCAAACCCTCCAACCCTGGCAACATTCTTGTAAATCTTTCCTGAACCCTCTCAAGTTCTCAACATCCTTTTATAGCAGGGAGATGAGAATTGCACACAATATTCCAATAGTGGCCTAACCAATGTCCTATGCAGCCGCAACATGACCTCCCAACTCCTGTACTCAATGCACTGACTAAAAAAGGCAAGCATGCCAAATGCCTTCTTCACTACTTATCTATCTCTGACTCCACTTTCAAGGAAGTATGAATCTGCACTCCAAGGTCTCTTTGTTTAGCAACAAATGTGTAAGTCCTACCCTGATTTGCCTTTCCAAAATGCAGCACCTCACATTTAACTAAATCAAACTCCATCTGCCATGCCTTGGCCCATTTGATAAAGATCCTGTTGTACTCTGAGGTAACCATCTTTGCTGTCCACTACACCTCCAATTTTGGTGTCATCTGCAAACTTACTAACCATAACTCCTATGTTCACATCCAAATCATTTACACAAATGACAAAAAGCAGTGGACCCAGCACCAACTCTTGTGGCACACCACTGGCCACAGACCTCCAGTCTGAAAAGCAACCCTCCACCACCACCCCCTGTCTTCTACCTTTGAGCCAGTTTTGTATCCAAATGGCTAGTCCTCTCTCCATTCCGTGTGATCTAGCCTTGCTAACCAGTCTACTGCAAGGAACCTTGTTGAACACCTTACTGAAGTCCATACAGATCACATCCACCACTCTGCCCTCATCAATGCTCTTTGTTACTTCTTCAAAAAAACTCAATCAAGTTAGTGAGACACAATTTCCCATGCACATAGACTATCCCTAATCAGTCCTTGTCATTCCAAATACATGTAAATCCTGTCCCTCAGGATTCCCTCCAACAACTTGCACACTACTGAAGACAGGCTCACCGGTCTATAGACCCTGGCTTTTCCTTACCACCTTTCTTAAATAGTGACACCACGTTAGCCAACCTCCAGTCTTCTGGCACCGTACCGGTAGCTATTGATGATACAGATGTGTCTGCAAGGGGACCCAGCAATCCCTCACTTCCCACAGAGTTCTAGGGTACACGAGCAGGTCCCGGGGATTTATCTACCTTTATGTGTTTTAAAACGTCCAGCACTACCTTCTCTGTAATATGGACATTTTTCAAGATGTTGCTATTTACTTTCCCACGTTCGCTATCTTCTACATCCTTTTCCACAGTAAATACTGATGCAAAATACTTGTTTAGTATCTCCTCCATCTCCTGCGGTTCCACACATCGGTGGCCTTGATGATCTTTAAGGGGCCCTATTCTCTCCCTAGTTACCCTTTTGTCCTTAATGTATTTGTAGAATCCCTTTGGATTCTCCTTAACCCTATTTGCCAAAGCTACCTCATTTCCCCTTTTGCCCTCCTGATTTCCCTCTTAAGTATACTCCTATTGCCTTTATACTTTTGTAGGGATTCACTTGATCTCTGCTGTCTATACATGACATATGCTTCCTTCTTATTCTTAACCAAAACTTCAATTTCTTTAGTAATCCAACATTCCCTACACCTACCAGCCTTGTCCTTTACCCTAACAGGAACATACTGTCTCTGTGATGTGGAGATGCCGGTGTTGGACGACCATGGACAAGGTCAGAAATCATACAATACCAGGTTATGGTCCAACAGGTTTATTCTCTGAAAGCTTGTGTTTTCAAATAAACCTGTTGGACCATAACCTGGTGTTGTGTGATTTCTGATACTGTCTGTGGACTTGCGTTACCTCATTTTGAAGGCTTCCCATTTTCTAACCATCCATATACCTGCAAACTTCTGCCCTCAATTAACTTTTGAAAGTTCTTGCCAACTATCATCAAAATTGTTGTTACTCCAATTTAGAACTTTTAGACCTGATCTATCCTTTTCCATCACTATTTTAAAACTAATAGAATTGTTGTCACTGAACCCCAAAGTGCTCCCCCACTGGCACCTCAGTCACCTGCCCTGCCTTATTTCCCAACAGTAGGTCAAGTTTTGCACGTTCTCTAGTAGGTACATCCACGTACTGAATCAGGAAATCTTCTTGTACACACTTAAATTTCGCTCCATCCAAGGCCTTAACACTATGGCAGTCTCAGTCTACGTTTGGAAAGTTAAAACCCCCACCATAACAGCCCTATTATTCTTACAGATAACTGAGATCTCCTTACGAATTTGTTTCTTAATTTCCCACTGACTAGTGGGAGGTCTATTGTATGATCCCAATAAGGTGATCATCTCTTTCTTATTACTCAGTTCCACCCAAATAACTTCCCTGAATGTATTCCCAGGACTTTCATCCCTAAATACAGCTGTAATGTTATCCCTAATCAAAAACACCACTCCCCCTCCTCTCTAGCCCCCCCTTTCGAACTTTCCTATAGCATCTATACCCTGGAACATTAAACTGCCAATCCTGTCCATCCCTATGCCATGTCT